GAATTGCATCAAAATCTATACCCGTTCAATAACAACTATTCTCTTAACACACAAGTGCCTTCTTCACCATTCTCTTCTCATGTTTATAAGTCTGTTGTGTTCGAGTATATTGAAAGTCAAGTTATATTATTAAATTGTTGGCTAGGTCACAAATTTCATTATATTGTAAAGTTGTACCTCATCTCTTTATTAATAAAAAGCCAAAGTTTTTTGTGTGAAACCTGCTAATTGACTAAGTATACTCGTCATATATATCATCTATCCAGCTCAAAGCCTCACAACCTTTTTCTATCATCCATAATTACCTTTGGGGACCATTAAAATTAAAAATCATCAATGAATATAGATGATTTGTCTCTTTCATTGATGATCACTCTCATGAATAAGAAATATGACGCTATACAATTCTTTCAGTCATTATATTACATGATTTACACTCAGTTCCAATGCAAAATTTAGATTCTCAATACTGATATTGCAAATGAATACTTCAACTTAATCATTGGACCTTATCTTGCAAATGATTGTTCCTTCCGTGTGAGTTTCTGTGTTAAGACTCCACAACAAAATAAAATAACTGAGAGGAAGAATAGACATCTCCTAGATGTATCTTGCTCTATAATACTTTCTCATAATCTCCCAAAAATTTTCTGGGGGAGATGTAGCGCTCACAACCACTAACCTTATTAATAGAATGCTAAGCAGGGTCCTTGGATTCAAAACCGCTCTCCATGTTTTGATGGAAACATACCCTAATGTTAGAGTTTTTTCATCCGATATTATTCTAAAAATATTTGTTCGTCTCATTTGTTCACATTTACCAACCAAATTGTATAGAGCTTGACCATCAAATATATATTTCTTGGTCATGCTTCTAACAAAAAGAGGTACAACTGCTATTCTCCCATTACTAAAAAAATATTTTTAATTTCATGGATGTTATATTCTTTGAAAAACAATCCCACTATCCCAAGTCTAAAATTCATGGAGAGTGTGTGGGATAATATTAGATTTGCGACACTAATCTTGATATTCACACTAAATTAGAGTTGTCATAACATATTCCACTTCCCTTTAACCATTCTGTCTCTCAGGTTCCACTACTTGAGGATATTCAACCTAAGATTGACAACATGAAATGCATAAGAAATTTTGTGTGTACTCTAGGAGAAGGAAATTCACTAAGTAGGATAGAGACAATATGCAACACATGAAAAGTTCTAATGGAGGTGAAATCCAATGGAGAAGACATAAAAAAGTTGCACAAATTATCCTATAAAGGAGTGTTGCTTATGGGACATTATCATCATCTTATAAAGCTTTTATATCTAATCTTGATAGTGTGCAGATACCCAATTCTATTCATGAAGCACTTCAAAGTCTATAATGAAAAAAAAAAGTTGAAGATAGATCCAAACACTTGATTTAAATGAGACACAAACATTTGCGAAGCTTCCTCCATATAAAAGACCCGTTGGGTGCAAACAAGTGTTCAATGCCAAGTACAAAGCAGATTGGAGCATTGAGAGGTTTAAGGCTAGATTGGTGGACAAATATTTCACTTAGTCTTATGGGATAAACTATCAATAAACATTTGCATCAGTGACCAAGCTAAACATTGTAAGAGTTCTTGTTTCCTAGCTGTGACCAAAGAGTGGGGATTATATCAACTTGATATCAAGAATGTCTTTTTGAATGTAGACCTTGAGGAAGAAGTATATTTGTAGATCTCACCAGGGCTAAAAAATGGCTCAACCAAACATCTGTTTGTAAACTAAGAAAGTCACTTTATAGGCTCAGACAATTTCCACAGGTTTGGTTTGACAAGTTTGCCAAGACTATGAAATATAATTGATACATTTAATGCCATTATGATCATACACTATTTTATAAAATATAAATAGGGATTTAAGAAAGTTATACTCATTATCGTTGTAGATATATGATCTTGACAATAAAAAAAAGATTGGGAAGATTAAGAAGGTTTTTACCACTGAATTTGAAATCAAAGATCTAGGAGCTATGTGATACTTTCTAGGCATGGAAGTTGCTAAGTCCAAGAAGGGAATTATGATATCTCAAAGAAAGTACATCCAAGACATGCTAAAAGAGATAGAAATGTTGGGGTGTAAACATGCTGAGACTCTTATGGATTTCAAACGTTCAGGGGGAGAAAAAACGCAAGTGGAAAAAATATAGATACCATAGATTTGTGAGAAAAATTATCTATTGTCATATTATTTTGTCAGCATTGTGAGCCAACATATGAATAATACAAATGAAGAACATTTGGAGATGATTTACAGAATATTGAGGTTTCTTAAGAAGACCCCTAAATTATGATTATTGTCTAAGCAATCAAACAACAAAGAGCTAGAAGTTTAAACTCATATTCGTTAGGTATGGGAACTCATGGACATAAGGTCCACATCTCGGTATTGTTCATATGTATGGAAAAATCTTGTCACATGCAGGAGTAAGAAACAAGCAATGGTCACTAGAAGTAGTGCTAAATCTGAGTATCGGGCACTTTTTTTGGGAATTTGTGAAGGAATATGATTCCAAATATTACTAAATGATTTGAGATGCTCTACAGTAAATTACATAAAGATATTTTGTGACTACCAAGCTTCCATTAATATTGCAAAGAACCCTGTGCATTATTGCAGGACCAAATACATTAAGATTGATAAACATTTTATCTATGAAAAGGTCAATGGTGGCATTATTCACTTAATCTAGATTTCAACTCATCTTCAAGTCACTAATGTTTTTACTAAATTCCTACCTCCAGGCAGCTTCACTGATTTGAATACCAAGTTGGGTCTTTATTACATCTATGACCCAGCTTGAGGGAGAGTGGATTTTGCCTTTGTTAGGTGGGGCAAACTGCCGACCATATGGAGCCCACATGCTTAATTATTGGAAACTATTGGAGGGAGTTTAATTTATGGAGCCCACATGTTTATTTCTATTATGTTGTATGTCTTTCAATTATTGTTTGTTTTATATTTGATAAGTTGTAATAGTCTTAATTATGTTTGTCCTAGTCGTTACCCATATAATAAGGAGAAATGTTGTATTTTGAATGCGAGGAATAAGAAAATATAGTTTCTCCATCTTTTTTTAATACGAAAAATAAGAATTTTTAGGCATGGTTAACGAATGAAATTATTATGCATCCAAAATTGGGACCCTCACGTGCCACTCAAATACCATGTAAAAAATTATATATGAGAATGGCTGAAAAGTTTTATTCAATCATCATACAAATAAAGTAAATATACATAGAGCTGCCTATATATTATAATATTACAATAATTCGATAAAACATAAGTTTTTTGCTACATTTTTTTTATCTACAACAATTTAACATTCTATAAACAAACTTATCTTGTTTAAGGATTCACTAATCTGAGGACAGTAGTTTGACATTTATAATAATCCAGCAATTTATTGACAGCAACAAACAATTTTTCATCTATAATTTTTTGTAAATTGCATGATACATCTATGTATTTTGTTGAAATGGAGTACGACAATAGATATTATTATCTGTTTGAAAATTTATTTATTTTCTCGAAATTAATACGTCTTATCTTTGAGATGGGTTTATTTTTTGGTTCAGCCAATGCAATCTGCTATGTTGTTACCCTGCTCAATGGTAAGCAGCGAGGATTAGGTACATTGGCAAGTTGAGTTATATTTAGGATATAGTTTAGCATCATTATTTGGGTATAATAATTATCTTTCTTGAGAAACTTATGGCGTGCATGCATTACTAGGATAATTATTTGGGCAAGGTGGGGAAAAAAAGGGAAGATTTACATACATACCACTTAATTCCTATGAATATACATCTCTAACACCTAAACTTTGATTTTTACATATATATGTCACTTTACCTATGCATAAAAAGATGTATTTCACTTTTTAAAATTTAAATCAGTGGTATTTTTAGTGTGATATGAAAGATTTGGGTGGTATAAATATGAAAAAGAACTTTAGGTGTTAGATATGTAAATACATAGGAATTGGGTGGTATGTATGTAAATGCAACCCCCAGTTTTTTATGATATGGCTGATTGTGTTATGTTTTAATGTTAAAAAAGCCTGCAAACATGAGGGCAAATGAAACCCTATTAATTGACGAGAAGGTGGCTTACAAATGGAATTATGGGCTATACACTTGAAGATGACCTACAGATTGGCCTAAGAATGGAATGCTTCATGAAAGAAGTATTCTGGGACTGTTTGGTTTGCCCAAAAAAAAGAAATGCAATGTAAAAAGAATTTGGTGTAATTGAAATGTGATGCATTTGAAATACTTGGTTTGATGTAAGGTGATAATTTGCAGTGTTAGTATTTTTGGAAATTGGCCAAATCTTACGAATTCATAATGCATCAGTTTCAAAGTGCAGGGTGAATTCTGTATTCACCAAAATTTTATATTGCATTCTATTTTCATCCAAACAAACGCCAAAATATTGAAAGCACTTGCGTTCAATTTACTTTATACCACTAATGCAAAGAATCAAACAACATCTTAGCTTAATGTAGACAGTTCAGTAGTTCACTATCACATGAGATGTTTTAATTTGGAACTTTAATGGAGGCTTGTATGATGTGAAACTTTTACATACATACCACAACTCTTATGTATTTACATATCGAACACCTAAACATTCATATTTACATGCATTTCGCTCAAATGTTTTACATTACATCAACAATACCATCATCATCACCTTTTCAATGTGATATGCACCTTTACATGCATTGGTTTACGACACCAAGGTGTTATAAATGTAAATATCAAAGTTTGGGTATTGGATGTGCGAATGCAGAAGAATTATGTGGTATGTATGTAACTTTTCTTAGACTGTTTCAATCATTGTTCAAAACCAAGAACTATTTCACTTCAACAGATTCCTGATACAATCTAGCTTTTCCGTACAGTGAGTTTATACCTGCAATCTGATTTCCTTTACTTGCATCAGGTTTGGATAACTAAGATTTACATCAGAAAGGAAAAATGCTTGCTGTGCCATACCAAGGAGACAATGCGCTGTCCTTTCCCAGACCGAGGCCAGGCTCTGAGCTCGCGGTCCATGCCCCATTTCCCGCCGGAAAGCTTCGCACCTCTAGCCTTGAATCACCCATCATGCTTCTAACCGGCCACCAGAGCGCCATCTACACGATGAAGTTCAACCCAGCTGGGACTGTTGTCGCCTCCGGCTCCCACGACAAGGACATCTTCTTATGGTTTGTTCACAGCGACTGCAAGAACTTCATGGTTCTACATGGCCACAAAAATGCGGTTCTAGATCTCCATTGGACTTCCGATGGGTCTCAAATAATCTCCGCAAGCCCCGACAAGACGCTTCTGACAAGACGCTTCGGGCTTGGGACGTCGAGACCGGAAAGCAGGTGAAGAAGATGGCAGAACACTCCTCATTTGTCAACTCGTGCTGTCCATCCCGCCGGGGACCGCCGCTGGTCGTCAGCGGCTCCGGACGGCACAGCAAAACTGTGGGATCTCCGGCAGCGCGGCGCCGTGCAGACATTCCCGGACAAGTATCAAATCACGGCAGTCAGCTTTTCCGATGCATCGGACAAGATATTCTCCGGCGGGCTGGACAACGATGTGAAGGTGTGGGATCTGCGGCGAAACGAGGTCACCATGACTCTCCAAGGACACGGCGATATGATCACCGGCATGCAGCTGAGCCCCGATGGCTCCTACCTCCTAACCAATGGAATGGATTGCACTCTGAGGATATGGGACATGAGGCCATATGCTCCGCAGAATAGATGCGTGAAGATATTTTCCGGCCACCAGCACAACTTTGAGAAGAACCTCCTCAAGTGTGCGTGGTCGCCGGATGGGAGCAAGGTGACCGCCGGCAGCTCCGACCGGATGGTGTACATCTGGGATACTACATCAAGGAGGATACTGTATAAGCTTCCAGGTCATAATGGATCGGTGAATGAGACGGCATTCCACCCCACTGAACCTATCATTGGATCTTGCAGCAGCGACAAGCAGATTTACCTGGGGGAGATTTGAAGGAACGGCTGTTTCCAAGGTTGATGAGGTAAATCTAAAAATTTTATTTGCCAGGAAAGTTTAATATTGATAATTTTAGTTGTTTAGTGGCAGACCTGCAATTTTATTTCTAGCTTGAGTGTTTAGGCTTTGTATGAAAAATTATTACAGCAGCAATCTGACCAAACTTGACCACAGTTAGTCTCTCCTGAAACTACTTGAATTATCCAAGCTTTGATATCTGGCCTGATTTATTTTGGGAAATTTCCATACATACCACATAATTCTTATGTATTTATACATCAAACATCTAAACATTCATTTTTAGGCTTAAAACACATGTTATTAACCTATGCATGTGTAGCTATATGTCACTTTTAAAAAGAAAATATTAGTGGTGCTTTTGATGTGATGTCAAAGATTTTCATGTAATGTATGTAAATATGAAAAAGTTTAGATGTTAGACAGGTAAATACAAAAGAATTCAGTGGTTTGTAGGTAAATCTATACTCCCTTTTTTTGAGCATGGGGAATGATTTTTATGAACACATAAATATTTAGTGTGAAAATATAAACGCTAAATTTTACATGTCATGAAGCATCAATATACATTGAGAAAGAAATATGGATAGCAAAAATGATACATTGGGAAGGCTTTTCATGACTTCGGTTTTACTATTTAAATGAGTAATGTTTTTGTCTTAAAGTTTATAAAAGTGTTGAAATAGTTCTCAGACTCTTTAAATGAGGACTAGGATAGTCCCTATCTGAATAATTAGGAATTATTTTGGCACTTTGCTCATGTAGATGTGTAACACCTAAACTTTTAACAATTATACCAACCAAATCTTTCATATTATGTCAAAAAGTATTACTTTTACTTTTAAAAAGTGAAATACACTTTTTCATGCATAGGTAAGATGGCTTATATGTGAACATTGAAGTTTAAGGGCTAGATATGTAAATACATAAGAATTAAGTGGTTTGTATGTAAATCCTCTTATATTGATTCAACTTGTTGTATGTTAATAATTTAACAGTTTATCTTTGTATATAGTTGTTTGTTTTTGTCAGGTTTTATTTTTGCACTGACGCGGGGCTTTTGAATGCCGTGTGGATTTGAAAATTTTGGTAGTTTAAATAATCAAACGCGTCATCGAAAGTAGTAAATAATCTCTAAAGGTACAAATATAACTTTTATGATGGGTTTGCTTATTCGAAGTAAGAGAACATTGGATATCTGCATTGGTTTGTGATTAAACCTGATAGATCATGTCCCATATCTAATCAGAAGACTAAACAAGGTTTAGGTTATGGGGTCTTCTTTTTCCTATAAAGGAAAATGCCTATAGTTAACTATATCTTAAGCAAGTGAAATTACTTAAGAAAACTCTCGATTAAGGTCGCGGTTTTGTCGTTAAGAAATTTCTAGGTTTAGTCTTTTATGATTGGACATTGGATTTCTAAATGAGAAAGACTCAAAAGTTGAACAGTTGTTAACGGAAGCCAAAAGGGGAAAATGTAGGAGACACTCGAAGATACTTAATAATCTTAGTAGTATCGCAAACTATTCTGTTGTCTAGAATTTGACATTTTTGAAGAAAATTTTAATGTTTCATCCCGATGTTTTATTTGAATGTAAAACTTATACTGCATGACATACAATCATATAGGAGCCTAAATGTGAGGATATATGTCATAACTAGTCGAACAACTTCGGAAACCTAGAGTGAAGCTCATCGAGAGAAGTGAAACTTTAGAACCCTAACCTAAAAGAAGGGAAAACATGGAATGCAATGGACTTACAACCCTGCCTGGAGAGGGCGATCATCCAAACCACCTAATCACATTCAAATCCATGAATAATCAGCATCAATTATGCAATATAGGGTATGTTGTTGCTTATTATGAGTAGTAGGCGTCGCGACTTGATTATAAATCAAGCTGTTTAAGTATGTATGATATGCATAATGTCCTCAGACTAATGCAGACATATTTCAAATATAAATGTTTTATGCCTCACAACACTCAAATGTCTAGTTTTGTAATGGGCTGTGCAAGTTTTTTATGTTGAATGCATAGAAGGTTTGTTCAAAATGTCAATCGGTATGCATAGACAGAGCTCACTCTATAAGGTAGTTGTTCTCACGGGTCAAACCACCCCCTTTTTGTGCAATGAGTGAGGGCTTGAAGGCAAGGAATATGAGCAATATGTTATGCACATGCTTACAGATGATGCTATCGTCCATATTCCTAAATCGAAAAGGAGTTTCTACTAAGTTTTATTTGGTGTAAATCGAGATTTAGATTTATGATTTTTTATGATCGTGAACCTAGTGATTTATGTGGTTTAGTTTTTGTTATGAGTTTTGTGTTGAAAAGTAAAGTTGAAGTTATTTAGGCTGGCGTGGAAGGTTTAGCCCTTAGGTGAGTCTACCGGCAATTTGAATATGTAATATTTTTTTGTTCAAAAATGTCTCGAAATTAATGTTAAATGATAAAATTTATTGATGATAAATCATTCATAATGCTATCCTTCTATAAAAATTCTGCATAAATAAATAAATAAATAATTCTAAAACTATGAAATTCTTTCCTTTCCACCAAAAGTCATTCGTAAATGTTAAAAATATGAATTATTTATAGATTTAAAAAAAAAGTATTTCAATTATTTCTGTCAAAAATTCAAATTAAATGCATGTGGGGATTCCTCTAAATTGAATGTAATATTCGCTTAAATAGATTTTGCAAAACTTGTCTTTTATTGCTCCTGTAGTCAATGTCTTTATAGCTGACCCTGTTGCCATCACCTCCGTGACATAAAACAACAATGGAGGGGTATTGTTAATTTGACTTTTGTGTCTAATTATAGAATAAATAATGCAAATTACTTTTCTTTTAGTTACTAATTATCCTAATTTTCTTAATCTAATGTCTAAATATGCATCGGAGTGGGTGATATTCATTTATTATTTTTGTTAAATATTCTTAGGATGCAGGGTCCCACATCATTTGTGGGTTCATACAATTTGAGAGAGACCTGTAAAAAGATGATCAAAGAAAAGCATGAAGGTGCTCTCCATGAAGGAGTTCTCTGTATCTTCGATGAAATTCCTCAAGTAGAACAAATGAGGCGATCTGATCTCTTTATGATTTGAGTGTATGTGTGTGTTCGTGCGTGCATGCGTGTGTGCGTGCGTGTGTGTGCGCTTGCGTGCGTATGTGTGAGGAAGAGAGAGAGAGAAAGAGCGCAAAAGCAATCCATCAATCCCATCCGCTCAATACATAAATAGAAAATAATAAAATCATGAGCAATACAGTACAAAATCTGTCCACGATGTCTTGCTAAGAAGATTGCAATGCAAATGTTAGGCCACTCATAAATTATGATGAAGAATATGTCAATTCCTTTAATGTTGATAATTATTTCGACTATTTGTCTATTTTGAGGACCATTGGTTAAGAGAAACTCATCAGACAGGTCTGTGGAACGCCACAACTCTTGGGAAGATAATAATGCCACTTCAATTTGACAGGTCAATCCTCCATGTCAATCTGCCAAGCACATTTGATGGATAAAATGAGATATGTAAGGAACCTGATGACGACTCTGACCCATGCAGTCCTTCAAATATCCATTAGTCGAGAATTGGTTATTCCTATACGAGTTCATGGACGTCAATTATCCGTATAAAATTTTGTTGAGTTTGATTTGATAAAAAAATACATGCATTATGAGAAATGTACTTTTTATAATTTAATTTTCTTTATATATGAACATAATAATAATAATAATAATAATAATAATAATAATAATAATAATAATAATAATGTAAGGTAATATTTATGTATATAAATCATTTCAAAATATATAAAATAATTAGGATTATATTTTTGAATTCTTAATGTTAGTAATTTTATGAAAGCATGTGGTGTCATTCTTGTCTTGCTCTTTGACACAAAAGTCACGTAAAGATAAAAGAAATTATTGACTGGTATGCAAAGTCAGTGCATGCGTGTATAAACTAATTATATGATATATTCGGATTTTTTTTTTCGAAAAAAATAAAAATAGTATTAAAGTTAAAATATAATAAATTTAAATGACTTGATATAATCTTATTAATTCTAAGCCTTTTGCTACATTTGTTTATGATAAACATTGCTTTCGTAGTTAATTAGTCACTAACTCCATTGACCAATTTTGCAATGTTGATTGTGTATGTCTTGCAATAATGAAGATGGGATGATCAAAATATTATTATTATTTTTACATGCATAACAAACAATTTTAATCTATTTATAAATCTAACACCCAACTTTAATGTTAATTTGCATGCATAGTATTCAAATCTTTACTATCATATAAAAAATATTGCTATCACCTCTTTTAATAAAGTTAATGTATACAAGAATACATTTGTCAGGGCCGGACCTAAGTAGGGTTCAGGGACTGCAATTGCCCCTTCTCAAATTCGGATTTTTATTTATATGGAAGGACAATTTTATCTTTTGTCCCTCACCTCATGAAATAGATTTTTACTCATCTTTCCTGAGAAGGTGATCTAGCCCACTTAGGTGGGGACAACTGTTAGGGAATGTTATCATTGCCATCAAGGACTCGAGTTCATCCTTTTTTAAAAGCGTCACCTAAGATACACATCACAATATTTTATCAGAACAATATAACTGATTGTCGTATTGTATCAAGTGTATTCTCTATTATTTTACCTTTCTGTATAAAAAGGAAGTCAAGATGAGATAAGAGGATCATCTCTCTCTCTAACATTGTAATTCGAAAAACATCTTCTGAGCAATTATTTCCTGCTTGTCGAAGAATCAAGGTTGGTACAAGATTCATCAGACCTTCACTCAAATCTCATCATCATCTCTCTCTCTCTTCTTTCTTTCAAGAATATAAAGTATTTACGGAATTGTATGTATTTATGGATAATACGGGATCATACGTCCTAAAAAGATTCAACCAAATTGTCAAAAATATAAATATGAAAATTTAAGGCTTTATTATTATTATTTATTTATTTATGGTTGAATTAATGGTAAAGTATGGGCTAAAACATAAACACTAGATAGGCTTAGTTGACCAAATAATGATCTCAAGTCTTAATCCATGAAAGCAATGGCAACCAATGATTCTCTCACCAAAAATAATTTATCTTTAAATTAATTAATTAATATTCTCGCTTATCCGAACCCTTAAAAAGAGATTTAAAAATA